TGTCCTGCCTTATAAGTGCCAAAGTTCAGTTAAAGGAACTGACTGTAGTGTCCATTGGGCTTCTTGCAGCTAAAGTGATACATTTTCAACTTCCATTGTGTCTCTGGCAGATGCTTTGTGATGTTGATGAGGTCATGGCGATACGTATGATTTTGCGACAGCCCTCACCAGTCTGGCTGCACTTCACCATTGAGGAGTTGCAGATCTACCCTCGTGGCCAGGAGGTGGGTGCCTTTTATTTGCTTGGGATGGGCCCTATATGTGGCTGCTTGGGCTACAGCACTTAGCAAGCCTGGGATTCCTTGTAAAGGTTTTGACCCATGATAGCAGGGCTTATCTGGGTGACTGCAAGTTGTCTTCTGCCCATCAGTAGGTATGGCTGAGACAGGCATGGGGCTATCCTAACCTCTGTTATTAGCTGACAGTGTTGACCACCCAGCTCAGATTGGTGCTTCTTTGCCTGTAAAGAGCTTTCTTCCATCAGGAGAGTAGTGCAGGAGGCACTGGGTTCCACATTCCATGAGTTAATTGTCTGGTTCCCAGTGAGTGGCTGCTTCATGCTTTTATCCAGCCTAGGAAGTGAAACTCCCTCATTGGGCAAAGCCCCTGACATGCTTGGTCCCCTCCTCCTATATCAGCACAGAAGGGTTGCAGCCTGGGCCATGGCATGTTGTCTCAGCTGCTGCAGGCTCCTAGGAGCAGGACTTTGACTACCCAGTAGGGGTGCACCAATAGAGAATTTTTGGGCCAATACTGATGACTGATTTTTAACGAGCCATATCAGCTGATACTGCTCCAATTCCAATATGCAGCTGGGCAGGTTGGAGAGTGGTATCTGGCTGGTAAGCCTGTTGTGGGGGAAGGGGCAAGAGGGTAGGAAGGGGCATGGGGGGTGCAGATCAAGGTCCCCACAGTGAGGGAGGGAGTGGGGCTGGGTTTGGGGCAGGGGCAGGTGCTGCACAGCCTGGGTGGAGTGCGGTACCGAGCTGCTCATCTGGGGAGGGTGGGGGGTGGCAGCTTCTGCTGCTGCACACACCCTGGGAAGGTATGGATGTGCCCCCAGATCTGTGTGCGGGGCAGGATGGGCTGCCACTGTGGGCTGGAGCCGGGGCAGCACTGGGCTCTTCCTGGCAGGGGTGTTGGGCTGGGCTGCGCTCTGGGTGGACAGCAGTGGTGCTGGGAGGGGGGTACAGGGGGAGCTGCAGCCACCCCAAAATTTGCCATTTCCCTCATAGCCCCCTGTTCCCAGCAGCATCACTACCCACCCCTCCCAGGCAGCCCAGGCCCCATGGGGAACAGCCCTGGCCCCAGCCTGCCCTGCAGTTGCTCACAGCTCCGTCCTGTGCTTCGCCCCGGCTGTGCAGTGCCTGCCTTGCCCCAGCCCCACTCCCTCCCTCACCACTGGGGCCTCAGTCTGCCCCCCCCACCCCTTTCCTCCCCGCTCGTTCCTCCCCCCACAACAGACTTACCAGCCAGACCCAGGTTCTCTCCATGCTTCCAGGTTGCACTTCTAGCCGCCTGGGTGCTGCGCTGTGGCTGCGTGCATGCACAGGGCATTTATCGGTGGCATGATCAGCCAAAAAAGGCCAATGGCCAATGTAGTCAATTTTCCTTATATCGGTGCCAATCCAACATGGAACCGATGTATCAGTGCACCTCTACTACCCAGTCCTGTGAGTGCCTCCTGGGGATGTTCTAGGTCATGGAGTGAGATCTTGGTATTGAGAACAAATGGCTCTGAAGTCCCTTTGCATGTTTAGGTGAAGTAAGAACATGCTAGTAGCAGTTGCTTTTCTTGTAGCACACTTGGGGAGGGTAGGATCCTTTGGGGAGATGGACCAAGTGTCAAGCCCCAGCCAGACTGGGTTCCATTTCTTTCTGCGTGGGCGCATCTACATGTTCATTAATGCACCATAGTTACTGTGTATTAAGTTTAGTACTTGTATAACCAAGTGCTAAATCAATGTGCAGTAACTGGCGCAACTGCAGAGTAACACCAGCACACGGCTATTTAGTGATGCTAACTGTACAGTAGCCTACTACTACTGCACAGTAATGTATTAGCATGGTTTTTATTGTGACATACTACTGCGCAGTAGTATTAGGCTACTGTGCCGTTATCATCTCATGCAGATGTGCCCAGTACGAAATAACTTAGTTTTGGTCAAGCATTAGAACTCCAGCTAAAGGCATGTGTTCTGCTCAGAACAAAGATTAATGTTAGCAGCAAGGCCCTGGAGGACCTGAAAGCAGCCTGAAAGCTTTGCTAAGTTGAAGCTGTATTTTTACTCGCCTCACAGTTTTATTTCCTTTCAGAGCCCCCAGAAAGACTTTCCATCTTGGCTTTCCCATCTCACCTCTCGGGAGCAGCCAGCAAACCTGCATGGGGTAGGTATTCACCCTTATAGAAGTACTTGGGTGACTGTGTCCTGGGATGGGAGTGGGGAGGTAGCAGGGGGGGCCTAGGCTGGACTGTGATGAGGGTAGCCACTGGACGGGCAAGTCCTCTGTGAGACAGCTCGGCTGAGGAAGGCTATTCCTCACTCTGAAAGACTCAGGAAAGTTGCACAAAGATGCCCTGTACGTGCTGAGAGCCAAATGCCTATTGGGTATTTGGTGTACACACCCTTAGGCACTTGAAATTAGGGGGGAGAGATTGTTTGCTTTGGAGGTGGAAAAGATAGGTGAGAGGCAGCATTTTCTGATCAAGTAAGCTGATTGGATAATAGCTATGATCTGGATGTGCCTGAGGCACAATGATAAGCACCAGTATTCATTATTGTAAACATAAGTTTAACCCTGCCCTCTGCAGTTAGGACTGTAGTGTCTTACCCCACTTCCAGCTCCGTCCTCTCCTGACAAAGACTTTCCCCTCAGACATTGCATAGCCTCATGGCTTAGCAGGAGATTTGGGGAGGGTCACCAGTGAGGGCCTGACAGAGAGGAACTGCAAGAAGATGCTGAGGTCCTGGGTTACCCCCTCCTGTGCCACGTGTCCTTCCTTGCCCTGGTTCATTGTGTGTGTGAACTGCTTTCTAATCAGAATGGTGGTACTTTGTGCTGGGGAAAGTGACTGTCCAAGGGGCAGACCAAGCCTACCGGACTGGGGAGACCATTCAGAACTCACCACAACAGGGAAAGGGAGTGCAATCAACCTATGCAGGCCCCTCCACTGGACTGCTGAGCCCTCTCTGGCAAGCCGGGATATAGTGCTCTTCTAACACATGAAGTATGTCCAAGGATGGACAATAGCTCCCTCCTCCAGGTTAGACTCTCAGAGATCTCTTTACTGCACTGAAGTTTTCTGATTGCTCCAGTCATTCAATCACCCTTCTCCTAGGCTTATGCAGGGCATGATGCAATGGCATTTCTCCACCGTGTCACCTCATCCCAAGGGAACAGAGCAGGGAGGTCTCTGCAACACAGAATCTTAATGCTCAGGGAGCATGTGCAGGGGTTGATATCTCAGAGGGGAAACTGGAGACAATAGAGCTAGGTAGTCAGAAAAATAGGACTAAGCAGAGAGATCTGGGCGCAGCGCAGCCCAGAGAGGTGGCTGGTTATGATTCTCAAGGATCAAGTGAAGGACAGGGCAAGCAGGGAATGGGGCTGATCCTGCCAGCACTACAGTATCCGAGTGATCTTCCTTGGAATGAGTGGAATAACCCATGTGAACAAGGATTCACCAGGTTGCAGCTCAAAGGGGTGATCTAAGAGAACCCTGTTGTATGTGTATGGGGACAGCAGAGCCAACCATGCATGGCATGGAGATATCCTGTTCCCTCCTGCACTGCATGACTGGGTAAGGTCTTGGAATAGAGTAACCCTTGTTTTTGAACCCAGCAGGGGTTTCTGGAGCAAGTGCAGGGTAGGGTGTCTGTTTTAGAAAGGCTGAGAAATGGAACCTGGTGTCGCCAGCAAGGCTGAGCGTTCAGCTCGGAGATTACAGAGCAGATGACAGACTCCATTTGGATATCATGGTGTGGAATTCCACAAGTTGTCCAAGCTGGGATGTGAGCAGTAGTAAATGACCACTGTATGCAGCCAACACAAGTCATTATTATCTGGAAAAATGTTTGAATTGCCTCTCATATGAAATGTATCTCTCATTATTTGGACAGTTTTACAGACAGCAAAAGGTGAAACAGCCAAATGCATTGTTACAAATGGTTTTCCTGGCCTTTGCAGGCAGATGTGTGCAAAGAATGATGAGCAGGGAATGGCTTCAGCAGAGCAAGCCAAGCGGACACGGAGTGGCGGGGGAGGGAAGGAGCGTCGCAGGGCTGGACGCGGTGCGGCGGCTCCCTCTTCCCTGCCTACCTCCACCTCCTTCCCCCGGAGCAGTGGGGCTTGCAACCATCGCCTCCCTGCCTGAGGTGGTGGTGGCAGCGGAGGCTCCCTCCCACTGCCTGCCTCCATGTCCTTCCCCAGAGCAGCAGGGCTTCCAACCGCCTCCCTGTCTGTGGCGGTGGCCGTGGCTCCCTCTCCCCCACCTGCCTCCGCCTCCTCCCCCGAAGCAACCACAACCACCTCCCTGCTTGAGGTGGCGGTGGTGGCATCGGCTCCCTCCCCCTGCCCGCCTCTGCCTCCTCTGGCAGTTGCAAGCAGCAGGGCAGCCAATCGCCACCAGCCTTCTCGGTGGCACATGCACAGTTGCCCAAAAGCATTATGGACAGACAGACAAACTAAGCCCTTTATTATATTAGAATATTGCAGTAGGGCCTAGAGCGAGGGCTGGCAATGTGTAGCCCATGGGCCAGAGAGAGCCCACAGAGCTACTGAATCTGGCCTGCTAAGCTGGAAGGATTTGCCTGTGCCCACACCCATGCTGGGTCTGGGTAGCTGGAAGCTGTGTCCATGTCACTGCCATTTTCCCCTGACCCTTGCTCTCCAGCGGCAGCTCAGGTTCTAGCCATTTGGGAATTGAGCTGGCTGAGGCTGGGTGCCTTCTAGCTGTGCCCATGCTTCAGTCTTGGGGGGTGGGGGTGGAGATGTGGGATGACAGGGAGAAGTGGCAGCAGCATAGGTGCAGTTTCAAGTTCCTCTCCAGCTGGAAGGTGCTTACAGTCTAGCCAGGGAGCAGGAGGCTGGGAAAAGTGGTGCCAGTGCAGTTCCAGCTGTCTTGCCCTGGCACAGGCACAGGAAACCCCCCTTGCTACTGACATGCCACCAAAGCCACCTAGCTTGCACCAGATTGGAGCCAGGTTATTCTGGCCCACAGCCTGAAAAGGTTGCTGGCCCCCTTCACCAGAAGCTTTGTTGTATATCAAGGCTGCAGTACTCTGGGTCCAATGCAAACAGTTGGTGACAGCCCCTGTGCTAAAGAGCTTACAGCCCTGGGGTTGAGCAGGGTAATTTGTCTTTGTGCTGCCCAGGACTGGGGAGGGGCAGTGCCTATTGAAGGATTGGGTGGTGATTCTCTAAGCTGCATTTGGGAGGTTCTTCTCTTGGTAACCGCTGCTTGTTTGCAGGGACTCCCCAATCCGGAGAAGGTGTCGGCAGAGGTGCAGCAGATGTGGGTGCTGACAGAGATGATCCATGCCAACCGAGCGGCTGCCCGCATTGGGCGTTTTGACGTTAGTTCCCAGTTAGCTCAGTTTACTGCCCAGGGGCTGGCCCCAGTCTTTGAATCTGGTCTTCCTGCATGTCTTGGCAAGCACCAAGAGTATTTGTGCACCCTAAAAGCTGGCAGCTCCTGCATTTACTTTGAGGTGCTGTCAGTAAGCTTCTCCCAATAGATATCACTGTGAAAATGCTATCAGGCCACTGAAATTGCTCTTATGTGCTGAACACAGCTTGTTCCCAAGAGAAGGTGATGGCGGGACTTGAATGAGAGGGCTCAAAGCCCCTGCAGTCCCAGCCTTGCCCAGCTCCCAGGTCAGCCAACAAGAGCTGCTGTCTGAAAACAGGCTTATAAAGGGTCTTGGCTCCTGCAGTCCCTGCCTCTTACAACAGTAAGTTGGGAGGGAGTTTTAGGGGGCTGACATTCTGTTCCAGGTTTTCAGATATTCCTGTAATCCCAGTCTGTCCCAGTAGGGGGTCACTGAGGAGAGAGAGACTGGCAGCAGTATTAACAGACAGTAGTGTGGCCCTGGGAAGAGAGTGACTGATGCTTTCTGTGTTTCAGGTGGATGGCTGCTATGATGTCAATCTGCTCTCCTATACCTGAGCCCTCCTGGTAGCAGAAGCAGGCAGAGCTGCCTGACCTGGTATGCTTGTCCTCCTGCTGAGGCACATTTCACCTGCATTGCTTTGGACCCAAAGGGATAGCTACATGATAAGGGCCTTTGGCTGTCCATAGCCAGTCTCTGAGCCACCTCACAGCATCAAGTGAGTCATTTACTGATGGCCTCCCTCTGGGAACTCTTCCAGTAGCCAAGCTTCCTGCTTTTGGGCAGCCTTTTTTCCTGAATGTCTCCCTTGGCCCTGCGAAAACCATATCACCTCTCCACATTACACTGGAGAGGCCTTTCCTTCTAGGCCTGCTGCTGCTGGCCTCATCCTTCTGCTTAGTGTGGTTTGGGCAGTCAGCTGAAACTACTGTACTCCAAACTGGAGGGGATCTTCTGCACATATGATCTTGCTGGTGCCCGCAGCGTAAGAACCAGTTGATGCTCTTATAACAGGTACTGAGTAGGAAGTAGCTTATGGCCACCTTGTGCTCCTGCCTGCCACAATGGAACAGTGCTAATGCACAGACATACAACCTTTACTCTGCCCTAAGGAGTCCCTCAGGGAGGCCATAGTACAAACTGAATCTCCTCCACTTCCCTGGCAGCATGGAGATGATGGGCTTACAGGGTGATAGTTCCTGTTCTGTTGCCTTCACCTGTGAGTAGGATAGGACATGTCTTCCTTGCATGGGCTGCTGAGATTTTTGTTGTGAGTGTTAAACAGTCCCTTTACTGGTAAGGCCTGTGTGTGATGGGACAGAACTGAGACCAGAGATCTTACGTTACTGGCTCTAGGCTGGTGGAGGTGAAAGGTGCAGGATGGGTAATTGCCTTTTCAGGGAGGAAGGATCATTTGCTGGAGCATTCTTTCCATGGGTATCAGAGACAGCAGAAATCAACCTCAGAAGAGCACTAGGGTGGTGAGAGCCAGTGTGTTCCCCCTCCCCCACACTAATAACAGGTAAAAAGGTTGGGCTTAGCATCCCAGACATGCACCAGGTGACATCTGGGGATACCACCTTCCCTACCTTCAGTGGCATAACAAAGCCAAACTCTGTTGCTGTATTTCCCCAGCTGCTTGGCCTTGCTAGTCTGGGGTGATGGTCAAGTAGCAACAGGCAGCCAGACACTTATGGCCTCCTAGAGACCTTGTTTCAGGGGATGCACCCTGAAACAACTCTCTGTGTGTGTGCGTGCGTGCGTGCGTGCGTTGGCGGGGGTGGCTTTCCTCTGCCTTCATGCAGTTCTGACATTCCAAGCCTGCTCCTGCCAGCCCTGAATGTGTGTTGCATTAGTACCTAGGTTTCTTTCTACCTTTGTGAGCAGGCTTTGGCAGGGCAAATTCATGTTGCATTTCATGGGGTTTCTCCCTGACTCTGCACTATAAAAGAGGTATAAAAGAAAAGGAAAATAGTGAAACTGGTGCTCAAAGAGACTGCCTCAAAGAATCCTGGACCAAATGCACTCAGTGTTGTGCCCTGATCTCTGCCCTGAGCCCTTAGCAGATCGAGGTGGCAGGAGGGAAAGGTGCAGGATGGGAAATTCTCCACCAGATCTGCCTGTACAGGGTCATGGAACACTTCGAAAATTTAGCTTTAGCCAGAAGTGCAGGAGCAGTTGAACTGGGACTCCCTAATGTCCTTATTGCACTGGCTACCTCTGCTTTTCTTCTTTGCCTGCAGGCTGGCTATGAAACAGTGAATGATGAAGTGTTGTTTGGGCTGGCCTCCCTTCCCTATGGAGCCTGCAAAGGCAGAAGCTGGCTAGACAAGAGCTGGAGCTCCAGTAGCACTGAAAGTATAGTAGTGCCCAAACCTTGTAGTATTTCCCATGTTTTTTCTCCCACCCACGAGAAGTAGGGTAGTGTTATTGTCACCACTGTACCTCAGGCCCAAGGAGACTTTGCAGGGGTGCTCAAGAAGTTAGTGCTTCCTAAACTTGGGCCATCCAGGCTTGTGCCGAGCCACTAAGCTGCCAATTCTTGTTTGTCCCAATCTCTACACACCGAACAGCTACAACTATGTGCCATAGCTGCTCCCCAAGGCTTGGTGGACCCTGGGGGAGCGGAAAGAGCCTGTTCTGCATTCCCTGGAGTGGGAAAGGTGTGTGTCTGTTGTGATGGATCTCTAATAAAGGAACAGACTCCAAAGCTGGATATATGTTGTGCTTTTTTTTGGAAAAAGCCTGGGCCAACCTAGCTGCTGTTCCTCCTGCCCTTCCAACTAAGGCTGGCAGGAGCTCCCTCTATGTTTCCAGTGCTGTCACATGTGTCACAGAATTGGTAGCCCTGTTTCTAACTTGGCCCTTGGTGCCAACAGCATTTGGCCCAAGAGGGGAAAGCTCACCAGGCTTTATAGGAGTGCTATGGCTGGTGAAAGGAGATGTGGTTAGCTTTTGTGACCTGCTGGGACAGGCTGGTGAATCCCAAGGGCTGCTCCACTGTGGCTCAAGGCTGTCATAGCTGTTTGCCCCAGTGAAGTGTCAAATCAAACTTGGCTATTCTGAGCACACCTGCAGTCCCTGAAATCCCCTAACCTCTGAACTGCCTGGGCAAGGCCTGCACTGTCTCTTTCCTACTGTTCAGAACTGACTTGCAACACTGGGACAATGCTAGCTGGATGGCATGAGGGGGCCTGCGAGGAGATTCCCTCCCAGGCTGGTGGGGCCTAGTCCTGGCAGCCTGGGTCCTGAATGCACCGCTGTTCAAGGCGTGGGTTGCTGCAGCTTGAGGCCAAGGAACGACCACCCGGCTGCCTCGCCCCCAGCAGCGCAGGAAGGCCCCGTGCTCCGCCGCCCCGAGAGGGCCCGGGCCGCGGGCGGGGCTGCGGGAGCGCGGGCTCCCGGTGCGCAGAGCCGCTGCCGAGGGGTCCCCGGGGCCG